CATTAGAAAATTGCCTATACCGAACTCCTTAGAAACGGTCGGTATGCTAGTCCATTCTAAGGAGTAAAAACTAGGCAATTTATATTGCAGTGCATATGGGTCCATGTCAATGTGTTGGAAGTAAATGAACATTAGTGTGTGTAATTCGTAATTGTGTACTCTCCGAACTCACTATCCGTTCAAAAACTGGTTTAACATAATAGCCATTGTCATTAGACATGCTATTCACCGAATTTACAATAACTATTACCTAATTACGTTAACATAATAATAATATTATTGTACTTAATTAAATGGTAATAAATAATAGATAATACTTCATAGTAAATGATTTTTTTAATTACTGCACTACATAGGTATACTTAATTTCGACCAACCTTGAACTTCAAATAATTGTAAAAAAAACTGTTTTTATATATTTTTTAAATTTGTTGGTTACAGTATGAACTACTTACGTAGAATCTTATTTTAAATTTTTAAATATATTTTTTCCTTAGCTAAAAAAATTGAACATTTTTAACTGCGAAATAATTTGTAAACTTTCAGTATGATAAATTGCTCAAAAAGATCAAAATATTTTGAAAGTTATAACATATATTATAAAATAAAAAATATAAATATAAAAATATATAAAAATATCAATACATCGAGTGTCTAGACAAACATTTTTAAACAGGTATACCTGTATAATGTAAAATATAATTTTATTGAATAATCATAATGAATATTATAATACCACGGAAATAAAACCTATTACCTATACCTTTATATAATATATTCTGTACATAACATTGCAATAGGTACTATAATAAACAATAATCATTAAATAATTGTGTGTTATTCCCCGAATAATACCGTTTACGTTGTATAGGGGCATCATAGTGACCGGATATGTACGGCTGTGATTTTACCTACGCGCATGCACATGTCAACCACATATTATTGGCTTATAAAATTAATAAAATTTTTTTTTTCAAAAAATACGGCCAATGACTTCAATCACAACCCTTAGTAGAATGTTCCGATTTAAATTTAGAAAGCAGATTTGAATTCTCCTCTAAATTTACTATGCTTTGACTGTCGTACATTTTTCATATTCAATATCAATGGATTTAAATTTGAATTATAAAAATGATCAATTTTTACTCTTTTTGTTAGTAAATTCCTAAGTAAAAAAAAAAAAAAATCAGAAAAATAAAATTGTCAAAGCATAGATAATTTAGTGACGAATTCAAATCTGCTTTCAAAATTAAAATCAAAACATTATATTTTGCGTAGTGATTGAAGTCGTGAGCTATGTTTTTGACCGAAAATGAATCACGCTCCAGCCCCCTTAAATAAAAACGTAAGTACTAAGTACCACGTAGGGCATCATAAAACGATACAAACAGGTAGGTAAGTGAAAAAACCTCTCTAAAACTCAGATTCTTAAATCTCAATCAAGCCCGGATTAAAGGGGGGGCCAAGGGGGGCACGGTCCCGGGGCCCATTGATTTTGGGGGCCCATCTTTATCACCAAAATATATTTTTTTAACGCGTCCAGTAGTTTTCAAAAAAAAAAATAAAAATTATTTAAGTAGGTAGGTATAGTAGGTAAATTATTATTAATAATTATAAAATAAATACGTTCTCAATTTTATACCACCAAAAATTACTATATAAATAATGAACTATGTTTGCCAATAATTTTGTTTGTTTGTTTGTTCGTTTTTTTTTTTTTTTTGAACATTTTAGATTACCAATTTAACTATTTAAGTATATAAAAGGTAGTTATAAGAAAAAATTATTTAGCTCTTGTAAATTAGGTATTTCAGTTAAAAGTATTAATGCATACTAGTGATGATCAAAACAAGACCAAGACCGAGACTTTCAAAATCTTGGGCTTGGTCTTTATTTTGCAGACTCAGTATTGATCTTGGTCTTGGTCTTGAGCAAGACTCTTGCTATTTTCACAAAATATATAAAAAATAACTAAATACCTGCTATAGCTGTGTGTAGGTTTTTTGTTATGATCTCTAAGATGAAACTTATCGATTTTGGGCAAATAAAATAATTTTTCAGTAATTGTTAATTAGTATGAACAACTATGTTATTTTGTAATATCAATTCCCATTATATTTCTAATCTTTTTTTCAATAATTCGCCATTTCCTCGAACATTGGTCAAATTTCATAACAATACAAATAAATTCTTTTTATTTTCGTTATAAATTATTAGTTAATGAAATATAGATACAGTAATGTGTTTTCGGGAAAAAAAAAAAAATTTGCAAGACCACAAGAGTCTACTTTAGAAGATCATAGTTAATAACCTAGCTAACCAAAATTGATCACTTGACTGTCAAAATTTTTAGAAAAAGAGCTTTAGCGGAATCCATAAAAAAACGTAGCGGTTACCATTTGAAAAAATAAAGTCGATTTTATTATTTTTACAACTGCGTGTTTAAAAATGTTGAATATGTTATAAAATTAATTGCCTGTTAAAAATAAAGAAACGATTGTCTTTTTTTTGTTTTAACGAAATTCCATATCATCGATCCATACCTAATTGTTTAAAAAAAACAGCATACAATGACATAAGATACACCCTTTATATTTTTTTATTTTTGTATAGTAAAAAATTATACAATAATATAAAGTCGTTAATATGTAATGATACAATTATTTTGAAGTTAAAGTTGAAAGGGGGCCCACTAAGTGTATGGTGTCCCGGGGCCCAATTGATCCTTAATCCGGGCTTGATCTCAATATATTATACTGTAGATACTATCAAAACTTGTACTTAAGTAGGTACTATAGTTTTAGGTTACTACCGAAAGAATAATAGATAGGAGTTTTGGTGCAAATTACAGTAAAATTCCTATTTCATACTTCCTGAGATGCTGCAAATTACAATAGCATTTCAAAAATGTCGGTGCAAATTATTACAAATTTTTTATGTTGTATTTATTAATATTTAGGGTTAGTTTTGGTGCAGTTAAAGATCGTAAACTTTCATAACTATAGATACAATTTACAGTATGTTCGTTACAGTTAAAATTACTATATACAATCGAAAATCATAATTTTACCTACTATAGGCAATCGGGCAACTCTGGTAAGGCCAAGTCAACAAATATTACAAACATTCAACCTGACATTCAATATTCATAAGCATAACATAAAAATAGATTTTGTTAATAAATAATAACATTATGATTTTTAGGCTCTCAAGGCTCTGTCAAACAGAAAGCGTTTTTTTCAAGTCGCGCGATTTTGTAATTAGTTACAACGCGGCGTTATTCACGCGCGTGAAAGCAACACGCCGACGAGCCATTTACCGCTTTAACGCGTTCTGCCTGACATTGTTCTATGGTTTGACAGAGCCTTAAGGTTTAAGAGTTAAGTGTTCTAGAATCTAGGTCTTGTGTAGCGTTGACACTTGACAGTCTGTCGTGTTTGCGTATACTAATACTATTGACTAAATTGTGTAACCCAAATACACAAATATACTACACACACGCTGCAAAAGTGCACCGGTGGCTGTAAGATTCTATTCATTATTGTCTTGACCGCAGTGGTCGATAAATAATTTTTTATTGTACCGGCTGCGTTTTTACCACCGACACAACACCCCCTCGACACCCGCGCTACTGCTGCAGATAGCACTATAGCAGTGCTGCAGTGTGCGCCGTGAGGGGACGTGACCAGAAATAGATTAATATTACGGTGCGGTACGCTTTTGTTGGTTGGACGTAATATCAATAATAATTATTAATTAAAATAATACATAATATTCAATATTGTTGTTTGTTGCGCAGTCGACTGATTTCCGAATTCCGACTGAAACGGGCTTCACTTGGCACTTTGACCGCATGACACAATTTATCGTGTTTGTCAGTGAGATATTACTACGTCACTGCACGATTCACTGGTCACTACTAAAAGTAGGTAAGTAAAGTAGGTATAGTATAATATAGGTAATGTAGTGAGTAAAACTCTAATGTAACGGTATACCTACCCTACAGTATTGTTGTAGTATAGTATTGTCTTGTTCTGTGGTAGAAGTGATATCGTAGTCATTCGTCGCCAGTCGTTCATTGTGGTATTTGATGAATACAATCTAATTAATCTGTTCACGATTCTACAATAATTACTACCTGCCAAAATAAGTACCTACCTACATTATATTTTACAGATTAAATTTTGATGTAGATTGCCGACCGAGCGGGGCCAGAACCGTCTCACTTTTCCAAACATCACATTAGCAGGGTCCCGGGCCCAGTCCAGGCTGATACTTCAGTCTCCTGCAGGTGTACTTACCAAAGCCATTATACATTTATACCTAGATATTATACGCTTTGTCGTTAGTTATAATTGTTTTTCTGTCTTGACCGCCCAAAAAGTATCGTAAATGAATGATGTCGCCTGTTATACTTGGAAGGTAGCCGGTGGGCCCATTACTAGTGAGAATGTCATATTGTCATTTTAGACTTGCAGCAACCTCCACAAAAATTACATTAACCATGATTAAATACATGATTATTGGTTACGGTGTTACATAAACATGTGATATGTTCACAAAATATTGCAAGTAATTTTAAGTTTTAATGAAATTTCTAAGAGGGTTGCTGGGCCACGGCCACCAACTAAGTTGTCCATAATAATTATATATATATAATATATATATATATATATATATATATATATAATATATATAGGTAATAGTTCATTATTATTCATATTAATTAATTATTACTGAATACTGAATAGGTAATTATTACTTAAGTACTTGTATGATTATTGCTCAATGATTATACATTTATTTGATTGTACGATCTTAGACAGTAGACGCGTTGTATAAATATTGAAGATCATAATTTTGGCACGGTTGTTGTAAAATATGTCGATCGAAATATTGAATGCAATAATCATGAATAAAAAGTATGTTTACACGAATGTGGCACTAATAAAATTAATCTTGTTGTTGATTTAGTATACTCGTGTTTTAAGCGCTGAAAAATGGCTGAATATAGCAGTAACTTGTCTGACGCGATGGGCGCTTTGTCTGTAGCCGATGACCACTACATAGAACCCGAATTGGACGACAACATTCAGGCACAACTAAGAAAAATCAAAAATGATTTCGAAAGTGTTTTCTCGTGGGACATTCTTCAATTATCGGAATTCGATCAAAATATAATGTTTAACATAATTGATAAAGTACAAGAAAACCTAGAAATGATCATCATGGATGGCAAGGACGATGAATTCAATTTTTCTAGGTAACAGAAGTGTAAACTGTGATTTTCTTTATATTATGAAATAAGTTTATTCTGTGTCCATATAGGTACTGTAATAAATTGTTTTAGGTATTGATAATGTTTGATATTGTTTAATAAATAGGTATAGGTTGATGTATATTAATCTATACCTATTAAGTCTATACAGTATACAATAGACGTACCTACTATAGATACCATATTTTGCCATTCTTGAATATTGACATCAAAAACTTCTGCACTATGCCACTGTGGCACTATTTATATCCAATGTACCACCATATCCACCATCCTAGCATTTATTTATTTTTTTTATTATTTGTGTATTATTTTCGACAGTAAATAGTCGAAATAGGTAATGCTTCGATTTTTAACTTCAGTACCTATCTTGTTCGATGGAAAAGTGAATCTAGTTTTTGCATTATGGAGGTCAAAATCCCATTTTTCCATTATATAGTGTTCGCCAAGAAAAACGAGAACAGAAAAACAAAAACAAAAAAGGTGCTCTGCTGTACAGTAGGTTACAAGTGGGTCACTGTAAAATGGATGGTATTAAATTTGAATTCAATGATATAATATCATTGTATAAGAAAAACGATTCTGAGCGAAGACGGTATGTCAGTCTAGGTATAACACATATTATATACATATCTATAATGGTATTAAAAAAAAATTGAAATATAATAGGTACCCATAATAAATTCCAAATTAATCATATCACAATATCCATTATAGGTACTTATAACGCCTTATACATCAACAACAAACCCTGATATTATCATAGATATATATAGTGTACTTTAGAAGTTTCAAGTTCCCAAAATCACAACAAAATAACTGCAGTAGTTATTCTAGGTTTTTTTTTATGTAATTTCATCCAAATTTGAACTTAAAATGACTATAAAAATAAACTGGGCTTATGTATTTTTTAGATTTTTTGGTAACAGAATTAAACTACTTACGTGGAGTCTTGTTTTAAATTTTCAATCCTTAGATATAAAAGTTGAACATTTTATAAATTTTTAACTACAAAATACTTATTTAATTTTAAATTTGATAAATTTTGTCAAAAAACGATCTTTAAATGCTTATAAAAAAAAATTGTGCCTATGTATTTTTAATATTTTTCAATTGATATTGTAACAATATAATATCAGAAGCCTTGTATTAAATTTTTACACTTTTTGGCCCAACAGATAAAAATTTATTGATATTTATAGAAAAAAAAAACTAAAAATATTGGAAACTGTAAATGTCCGCAAACAGCTCAAAAAGAGTCAAAATATTTTCAAAATTGTGTGTCGTATAGAAAATTCTAATATATACATTCAGTGAAATATTCATGTATCTACAGTTATTCGGTTTTGAATTACAACAAAATAAGAAAATTGTTACATGAGAAATCGAGTGAATATCCAATCATGTAAAAATATGAACTTTGAACGCTCATAAAAATTTAATTTGACATGCTTGTAGACATTTTTTTTTTTGATAAAAGTAGACAAACTTATGAAAAATCTTGTATTAATTTTTCAAATCTTAAATTTAAAAAGAAAAATTTTTAGGAATTTGTAACTCAACATAATTTGCACATTTTTGTGAATTTGAAGTATTTTCGCAATATTTGAACTTTAAATGCTTATAAAAAAAAAATTGTGACTGGATTTTTAATATTTTTTATCTTTCTTTGAAAAAATATATTAGGAGCCTTCTATTAAATTTACAAGCTTTTTTACCCCAAAAATAAAATTTTATTGATATTTGTAATATAAAAAACTAAAAAAAAATGGGAACTGAAAAAGTCAGTTAACAGCTCAAAATAAGTCAAAATATTTTGAAAATGTTATAGTGTATAGGAAATGCTAATATAAATATTCAGTCAAAATTTCATGTATTTACGGTCATTTGTTTTAGAGTTAGGTACACCAAAAACCAAAATCGACTTTGTCGAAAACCGATTTCGCTTGAAAATTTCTCGTTTTTCTTTAATTTAAATTAAGAAAATTTTCTTTTGCTTTCAGGGTGCTTTTGAAAACTACTGAGAAATTTTTACTTTTGACCCCCCCCCCCCCCCCAGAATACCAACTAGATTCACTTTCCTATCAGAAAAGATACTGTTGAACAAAATCTAAGAACTTTTATTGTCCTGAAAGGTATTAACAGACAAAAAGAAACATTGAAAAAAAAAAAAATTTAAAAGAAAACACACACATCATTGTAAAATCAATACATTTATCACTCCATTAAGAATCTAAAAATGTCACATAAAGTATGAGACAATGTGACATTATTTTGTTATTCGAAAATCGCAATCAATTTTTTATAGGTATTTGTATTTTGTATATTTTACCTACTAGAAATGTATAATAATAATATTATCGTAATAATTTTATCACCTGAGTAAATATGTAGTTAAACAAATCAAACATGCCGCAGAGGCTCAATGCATTTTAAACATATGTATAATCTTTATTTTTATTAGTCACCAGAGGAGGTTAGCAAATTTTCAAAAATTAAATTACCTTTTTTAGCCCAATTTTACAATAAAAAGTAACCTAAAAAACACAGTACTGGGTGGGGTTGACGGTGGGACAATGGGGCCCCATGTGATACTTATTTGACATCAATTAAATAACTTGATTACCACTTTATCGGTATCTTTAGTATCTATGGAGCATAGATAATTAAATACAGTAAAACCTCTGAATAGCGGACACTCACGGGACCGACCAAATTGTCCGCTATTGAGAGGTGTCCGCTATTGGGAAAAATTGATAAAATAATATGTATGTATTTATGTCTGAAAATTTAAATTTTATTGACTTTTTAAACATTTATTTATCATTACATAATTTATTATAATTAGACGTAATAAAATATGTTATACAAAATTACTTATTGAAAAAAAAAATCTGAAATTTTAGTTTGTTTTTTTTCTTGTATTGCAATTGCCTCAAAATTAGACTGGAGTTGATTAACTAGTGACAATGAAACTGCATCACTCTTATTGAGACAAAACGTCTTCAGTTTATTCGCTAACTGTAATGCTTCTTTGAGTGTTATTTTTTCTTCGTCTACACCGTCTGTACTATCTTCTTCTTGTTCCACGTCATGACTTTCATCCTCACTCATGCCATCATTGATTATGTCTTCAATGTTCAATGATAAGTCTTCGGTTTGTAAGCATTCATCTATTGACGAATAGTCCTGTGCATTTGTTGGATATATTGTTGAAACTAGTTTCGTTAACTCATTACTCAGATCCTCTACTTGTGTTAATTTACCAATATTATCTGACCCCGGAAACCCGGCTTTTATGAAACATTTAGTGACCGTTTCCTTGTTTATTTTTTTTAAAGCTGCTGTAGTCCACATAACTGCCTCAAGAACTGTCACATTTGGTTTTTTTATATTTTCGTTATCTATAGACGAAATTACGTGTTTTAAAAGATTTATGCGGTAATGAGTTTTGAAATTTTTTATAATGCCTAGGTCAAGAGGTTGGCAAGTTGAAGTTACATTTGGTGGAAAGAATGCGAGTTTCACATTCTGTAAATTCAAATGAGGATGACTAGTCGCATTATCAAGAAAAAGGATAACCTTCCGGCCTTGCATTTTTCTATCGAAATTCGATAACCATTCTTTCATTAATTCTTGTGTCATCCAAGCTTTACGATTAGCCTTCCACGTTACTCCAAGATCGTTGACGATTATGTTCTTAAAACACCGGGGTTTTAACGCCTTTCCAATCACCAAAGGTGTTTCAAAATCGCCTTCCATATTAACACACAACATAACTGTAATTCGTTCTTTACTTATTTTTCCACCACTGCAGTTCTCACCTTTGAGACACATTGTTTTATTGGGTAAAGCACGAAAAAATAAGCCAGTTTCATCTAAATTAAAAATATTTTTTGGAACAAATCCTTCACATATTTCGACTAATTTATTATTCCAGTCGTCCACAATATCATGGTCAACGGAACTACTCTCTCCACAGATAGCTTTATAAGCAATATTGTGACGTTTGCGAAATTTTTCGAGCCATCCATTAGACGCTTTAAAATTAGTTCTACCCAAAGTTTTAGCAATTTCTATAGCTTTTTGCTGTATGAGAGGACCAGAGATAGGCAAATTTTTAGCACGGACGCGGCAGAACCATTCATAACACACATGGTCTATTTCAAAGCCCTTACCTTCAATAAAATTCTTTTTTGTCTCTCCATTCACGTTTTCGTCACACCATTTACGCAATAGATCTACCCGGGACTTGAGTATGGTTCCAATTTGAGTTTTACCAACTTTAAATTGAGTCGCTAATTCACGAACACTTTGTTTTTTTGCATCATAACATTTTATTATGTCGATTTTATTTTTCAACGTCAAACGCGACCGTACCGGAGCCATGGTAAATACGATACTAACGGACAATGCTATTGATATCAGTACCTAAGTCATAACTCATAACATCACTATCGTTCGTATAGGTTCTTATTTAATTTTGTAATTTTTCATACCTTATCGTATTCATTAAATTACGATTTAGATAAATGTCTTTATCGGTAAAATATCGGTACATATTGTATTGTATACCTACACAATAAGTTTGTATTTCTTGGACAGCTGTCCGTTATTTAGATATATTTAAACACTTCGGACTACCTAACCTGTCCGCGTCCGTTATTCAGAGGTGTCCGCTATTTAGAGGAGCATTATCTATTATTTTCAACGGGACTATGCCGGGACCGGAAATTTTGTCCGTTATTGAGAGGTGTCCGCTAATTAGAGGTGTCCGTTAAGAGAGGTTTCACTGTATTTTTACTTTTTTCCATTTCAATGAAACCAAAAAAAAATTGTTGTTCACTAGAGTATTATCACGTCATGCTTATATCTATAATATTCTAAAGGTGTATTATAAAACATAGGGACATAATGACATAAATATAAAATTAAAAATCTATATTAATAAAATTAATGTTATCAACAATTAGGTATATGAAATGAAAT